ACCGGGGTCTTACACCCCGGACACATCAAGCCCGACTTTGAAATTGTGCAACTTCACTGTTGCATGATTTCAAAGTCGGGTGACATGTCAATTTCAGGTGCGATTTGCAAGACATCTGACACAGATGTCTATGTGAATCGCACCAAAAGTAGTGCATGTACTACTTTAGAAATTGGTGCGGCTCCAACCAAGTCGGAACCGCACCGATATCGCTGTAAATGCGGACAATAGGGTGCAACTTGGCATGCGATTTGCAAAACACATGCCAAGTTGCACCCAGTGTGACCGGGGTCTTAAATAAATACATGAATAGGTAGGCACTGTAATATGTCAAATGACAAAAATAGAATGAACTATCAATAACATCAAACAAATCAAGATCCTTGACACAATATGATAAATACTGAACGTATATTTAGTGATAGTCCCATAAAAATGTAGTCCCGTAGACCTAAAAATTCCCTCTCTCACCACATGCAGATAATAAGTGAATTTCTCACTAGGTTCACATTAGAACACAGTGCAGGATGCTTTCAATCTGTGCACGATTCCTGCACCACACTCTGATCTGCAGCGGGTGTCAATGTTGGATGACCTCCTCTTTTTTGATGGTGACATACAGAGGACGCGTATGCAGTGTGGAGGGTAGTTGTACCCAGGCTTTTTTTTTTTTTTTTTTTTAGGTGCAGGAACTCAACCATGCCCCCCCCAAGCAACCACGTCCCACAAGCACACCTGCCAAACGGCATCAAATAGTAGGTGTGGCCAAATTTCACTCAAGGTGGAAGGGTCTTAAAAGAGCATTAAAGTATTACTAAACCCACAACAGTAAAATCAGTCTGTATATGCAGTAAAGCATGCTTGTTATACTCACTGTGGAACCTAAGGGGTTAATCCTCTGCATTGTGTAAAAGGCCTTTTTTCCTGTCTTCTCTGTTTCTCCTCTTGTTCAGATATCCAGGTCCTATCTCCCGATAAGACATACTGAAACCGTATTCCATTCTGCACATGCTCAATTTAGTTTGTATCACTAGAGAGGATTTTTTTTTTCTTGGAAGAGTGCATGTGATCAGCACAGGGCCAATCAGCACTGTCTAGCCAGAGGTCAGGGGTTCTGCATCCACCTAGAGCAGAAAGAAAACTCCTTCTACAGGCTTTAACCAATGCTCCACTGAACACTGATAGAAGTCACAAGACTGCTCTAATTGCTGATGAGAAAAGGTATTTAGCAGTTTATATTTACTAAAATAACTGCATTTCTATGTTCTGTGTACTGTGGGAGATCAGACATAATGAATGAAGGGTCCTGGGTTTAGTAACACTTTAAATTTCTAGGAGTGCCATACATCCAGAGTGCAGAATTCAGGGGTGCAATAAAACAGAGTGCAGAATTCAGGAGTGCGCTCCATACAGAGTGCAGCGTTCAGGAATGCGCTATGTACAGAGTGCAGAGTTAATTAATGTACAGAGTTCAGGAGTGCGCTACTTACAGAGTGCAGAATTCAGGAGTGCAATGCGTACAGAGTGCAGAGTTCAGGAGTGCACTGCATACAGAGTGAGTGCAGAGTTCAGGAGTGTGCACTGCATACAGAGTGCAGAGTTCAAGAGTACGCTACGTACAGAGTTCAGGAGTGCGCTACATACAGAGTGCAGAGTTCATTAATGCGATATGTACAGAGTTCAGGAGTGCGCTACTTACAGAGTGCAGAATTCAGCAGTGCAATGCATACAGAGTGCAGAGTTCAGGAGTGCACTGCGTACAGAGTGCAGAGTTCAGGAATGCATTACATACAGAGTGCAGAGTTCATGAGTACGCTAATGTACAGAGTGCAGAGTTCATGAATGTGCTAACGTACAGAGTGTAGAGTTCAGGAATGAGCTACATACAGAGTGCAGAGTTCAGGAATGCATTACATACAGAGTGCAGAGTTCATGAGTACGCTAATGTACAGAGTGCAGAGTTCATGAATGTGCTAACGTACAGAGTGTAGAGTTCAGGAATGAGCTACATACAGAGTGCAGAGTTCATGAGTGCGCTAATGTACAGAGTGCAGAGTTCATGAATGTGGTAACGTACAGAATGTAGAGTTCAGGAATGAGCTACATACAGAGTGCAGAGTTCAGGAGTGCACTGTGTACAGAGTGCAGAGTTCAGGAGTGCACTTCCTACAGAGTGCAGAGTTCAGAAGTGCGCTACATACAGGGTGCAGAGTTCAGGGGTACACTTCATACAGAGTGCATCGTTCAGGAGTGTGCTATGCACAGAGTACATAGTTCAGGGGTAGGCTATGTACAGAGTGCAGAGTTCAGGAATGCGCTACATACAGAATGCAAAGTTCAGGAGTGCACTGCGTACAGAGTGCAGAGTTCAGGAGTGCACTACCTACAGAGTGCACAGTTCAGCCCTCTTCCACAGTTACTTACCTCTGCATCCCCCATCCACATCTCTCTTTCACCCAGGACACTGGGAGAAATGCTATCACTGGTAAACACAAAAGCCGGACTTCTATGTTTACAAGTGATAGTGGTGAGGAGGGAGCAGAGGGCCTGAGCTAGAGGTGGTGGAACTGAGTTTCACCAAATTCCAGCTGAAAAAAATCCCTGCTTGTACTTCTCTTGACTCAGTTGTATTATTATTATACAGGATTTATATAGCACCAACAGTTTGTACAGTGCTTTATAATATAAAGGGAGACAGTACATTTACAATACAATAAAATACAAGAAGGTAAGAGGGCCCTGCTCATAAGCACTTACTATCTAATACGGTGGGACAAGTGGTTGTTATAACTGTGGTTGGACGATGAGCAGATGGAAGAGATAAAAGTCCAGAAAGGCTTCTTTCACTCTGATCCGTTTTTCTTCTGTTTTTGCATTAAAAAAAGCGGAAGGAAAACATGTGACTATGTAATCCTATGGAACTCTTCACATTGATCCATTGCAGGTCCGCTGCCTTTTTTCAAATCCTGCTTGCTGCATTTTTGGTGCAGTAAAAAAATGCACCAAAAACGAACCTCCCAATTGAAATGAATGCACCCACGCTGCTGTACCTGCTTGTAAAGGTTAGCTGAAGTATGGCTTCAATTTTTAGTATATTTAAATCTAGCATATCTTAACCCCCCCCCCCCCCCGCAGACTGACAATGCTGTTTTCCAAAGGTGCCCCCTGTGCTCATTTATCCAGAGTGGAGGCACTCTAATACAGGAGGTCTGCTACTGGCCAGATCACCAGGTGAAAACAGAGGGAAAAAGCCTAAGAAAAGAAAACGATTGCAGCCACTACATCTAATGATTGGTGTGCTGAAATATATTACATTTTGGGTTTTGGGTTTATTACTGCTTTAACAACTGCCGGACAGCAATATGTACATATACGTCACCTGTTTGAAGTGTTATACAGGGTTGATGCCCCCTGCCACTCTCCGCTCCCTCTGCGGGCTCACCTGTTCCACCAGGAGCCCAGAAGTGAGCCTGGCTGTTCTGTCAGCTTACCATAGAGCTGATTGTGGACTGGCATATCCCCCATCATTTCTATGGTATATGAGTAATTTGTCACTTCTGGTTTCGGCTGGTTGTTTACTGGCCATAACCGACAAGGGACGGGAAAGCTTCATATCGAACTGATCTGATTTTGATCCAAAGCTTTCAAGGGCAGAGGAGAGATCTGGGGTCAAATAGACCGCAGATCTCTCAGTATAGAGTACCTGTCGCTGCCTATTGCTATTCTCAAGGGATGTTTACATTCCAGGTGATAACAATAAAATCTAAAAATGATCATACATGGCTTTCAATTAGGTATAAAGCCATTTATTTTGCTAAAACACTGCATCATAAAGAATTGCTTTTTATTTTTTTCACCTTTGTGCACATCATTGCTCAGTGTGGAGGTTCTGATAGGGACATTGGCGGAATATACTTACACAATGAGCACCATCACGGCACATTAGAGCCTTTACTAGAAGCACATGCAACCAGCATGACAACGCAATGAGTCAGGAACATAGCGTTGTCACCACATACCAGGAAGTGCCTGAACAAAGACTTTAATGACAGCATCACCTGGTATTACTTTTTTTAAAAGATGCAAATTTAGATACAATGCAGTTGACTTTAAAATTACATTAAGGGGTATCTATGGTCAAAATGTAAAATCCTATATTCCTTTCCACATTGTATTACAATTATTTCGAGACTACTCCTATTATTCTGAATAGTCTTGAAGTCTGTATACTTACTTTATGGAGATCCCCATACATTTATTTCTTTAAACTCTGTGACACATATTCACTATGATCTGTGAGTAGGCACAGCTGTGTCACATTTCACGGAGCCTGCCTTCTGAACTACGGAGGGGCTAAGAGGAGGACTTTCAGGAGGCGGAGTCAGCACAGGAATCACAGCTTGCAGGCAGCAAGGTACCATTGGGATATGTAGTCCTAAGAAATGTATTTTTTATTTCGGGTACTTATATAGCGCTGTCAATTTACGCAGCACTTTACATACATATATTGCACATTCACATCAGTCCCTAACCCTCAAGGGGTGTACAGTCTAAGGTCCCTAACTTACATTCATACATACACATACTAGGGCCAATTTAGACAGGAGCCAATTAACCACTTGCCCTCCTGAGGATTTACCTCCTTCCTGACCAGGCCTTTTTTTGCGTTACGGCACTGCATTACTTTAACTTTGCGCAGTAATGCAACGCTGCACCCAAATGAAATTTATGTCCTTTTTTCCCCACAAATAGGCAATTTTGAGAAAAAAATTATATTTTTTATTTTTTGCTATTAAACATATCCAGTAAAAAAGTTTAAAAAAAAATCTAAATTTCCTCATAAATTTAGGCCAAAATGTGTTCTGCTGCAAGTCTTTGCTAAAAAATATCCCAATACGTGTAAATGAATTGGTTTACTTGAAAGTTATAGCGTTTACAAATGGACGTATATATACTGGGATTTTTTTTAACTTTTACTAGTAATGGTGGCGATCAGCGACTTATAGCGGGACTGCGGCGGGCATTCTGACACTGGGGGGAACTGACTTGGTTTCACTGACATCCCCAGTGACACCAATACAGTGATCAGTGCTAAAAAAACACAAAACACTGACACTGTACTAATGGCACTGGGCAGGAAGGGGTTATTATGAGGGGTGATCAAAGGGTTAAATGTGTGCAGGGAGTTTTTTACTGGGGGGGGGGTGTTCTTCACTGTAATCACACTACTCTGGATGGCCAGTTTCCTCCCACTCTCAAAAGACATGCAGGTAGGTTAATTGGCTCCTGTCTAAATTGGCCCTAGTATGTGTATGTACAAATGTAAGTTAGGGACCTTAGATTGTACGGCTCTTGAGGGTTAGGGACTTACGTGAATGTGCAATATATGTATGTAAAGTGCTGCGTAAATTGATGGCACTATATAAGTACCTGAAATAAATAAATAAATATTTGCAAACTGTCAGTGCCAAGGAGTTAAGGCTGAAGTCACATGAGGATGTAGAGCTGCCGGAGCGCTTTACCCCTCTCCGTTCCTGGCTGTGGTAGGGGGCAGTGTGGTGCACGATTCAGCGCATCATGCAGCTCCGTTTTTGGTTTTTTTTTGGTGGTCTCAGCTGTCGATCACCAGGTCTTGGCCAGTGATTCCTCACCGGCACCCGGTGATCGCTGAGTATCACTAATGAAGGAGAGACCTGTATGTAAACAATACAGAGCTCTCTGCTGTCAGCTCCTGCACATTGCTTTGTATTGCCCCTTCCTCTTAGATTGTAAGCTCCAAGGATCAGGACCCTCCTATCCCTCTTGTATTGAACTGTATTGTTGCTGTATTGTCTCCCGTTATATTGTAAAGCACTGAGCAAACTGTTGGCGCTATATAAATCCTGTATAATATAATAATAATACAAAGCAATGTGCTTATACTACAAAACACACACATCACACAGTTAACCCTTTGATCGCTCCAGATGTTAACCCCTTCCTGCCCAGTGCCATTAGTACAGTGTCAGTGCTTTTTATTAGCACTGATCACTGTATTAGTGTCACTGGGGATGTCAGTGGCAGTTAGTTCCCACCCAGTGTCAGAATGCCCACCGCAGTCCCACTATAAGTCACTGATCGCCACCATTACTAGAATATATAAAAAAAAAATTCCAATATATATACTGCCATTTGTAGACACTATAACTTTCACATAAACCAATTCATTTACACATATTGGGATTTTTTTTTTAGCAAAGACATGCAGCAGAATACATTTTGGCATAAATTTGACAAAATTAGATTTTGTAAATTTTTTTACTGGACATGTTTAATAGCAAAAAGTGAAAAATAAAAGTTTTTTTCTCAATATATTGACATATATAAAAAATATTTTTGTTTATAGCGCAAAAAAATAAAAAACGCAGAGGCGATCAAATACCACAAAAGAGTGCACTTGTCAGTTAAAGTAACGCAGCGCCATATCGCAAAAAATTGCTTGGTCAGGAAAGGGGATAAATCCTCAGGAGGGCAAGTGGTTAATAATTGCGTTTCTGTATACTATGAGTACTGCTGAGGCGACTACGTCCCCATATAACAACATGCAGATATGAAAAGGAGTTCTGCAGATCACAGGGAGGCCGTGGTCATTTGTATTGTTTACTCGCCTTCAATACTGTGTTTGAAATAAAGTAAAGGTTACAGCAATCCAGAGCTTACAAAAAAAAGAACGCATTCTAAGAATTGTTAATATTTAACCGCAGCAGCGCACAAGTCTGACTGCACTAGTGGATATCCAGCATGGCGACGTCTGCACCCCTGGCAGGAGCTTGTCCTATTTGTAGGAAAACTGTGATAATATTGTTCCATGACTAGGTCTGGTTTGAAATGTTATTGCTAGAAAAGGGAAATGTTTTCTGGTTTCTGACTGAAGCGGGTCTGACTCTCTTTCAACAAACAGCAGAATGTACACAACAGTGTATCTGCACCCAGCACATGGATATACAGTGTGGGGCTCTGCAGCTTGCTAAGAGTTTCAGCTTGGCTTCTCTGCAGTATTGCTGGCATGAGGCGTCTGTGCTCTGTAAACAAAATCAGAGTCACAAGTCACCAGGATCCACCTCTTACACATTTACTGCCCTTCATCCGGGAGGTGGGGGTTGTCAAGCTGCCCATCCTCCCAAGGCACAGGCATTACCTGACATATGGACGCTGATTTATGTTTCACAATCAGGTTGGAGACAAGAGACATAGACAGTCTTGTGCCTTTAACCCCTATTCTGCCACTCACTTGTCTTGATTTAATGCACTGCTGACAAACTTTCGGATCATTTGTATGTTTTAGGGCATGAGCTGGGCTGCCTTGCTCAATGCATAGACAAGGCAATTCGCCTTTTGTGCTGTTAGTTCGGTTCACACCACCGAGGTGTAAAAAAGTAGGACACGCTGTATTTTTTTTTTCAGCACAGCTTGTTGTGAAGCGCCACACTGGTGCATAAAGATGAATGAAGTGTATTGAATGGCTTTTAAATAAAGTTAGCATAAAAAAAAAAAAAGCAATAAACAGTGTGATAAGTAATTTCAACACTTCTCGCCGTTCCTTCAGAGCGCATGCCAGAGGCCGTGTGGTAATGTATACTGCTGGGGTAAATGTACTCTTTAATCTCAATCAATGCAATCTGATATTATTATTATAATAATACAGTATTTATATAGTGCCAAAAAGTTTGCTCAGCGCTGTACAATATAGTGGGGGACAGTACATGAGACAATACAGTAACAAAACAATACACGAGGGGTTCGAGGGCCCTGCTCTTTCGAGCTTACAATCTAGGAGGGAGGGGAAAGTGGTACAGGAGGAAGTGGCTGTGGGGGATGGAGTGGTAGGAGGAGTGAAGGAGATTGGCTGTTAGGTGAGGGTGGGGTAGGCCTCTCTGAAGAGATGGGTTTTCAGGGTGCTCCTAAAGGTGAGGAGTGTAGGTGACAGTCTGATGGATTGGGGTAGGGAGTTCCAGAGGATGGGGTAAGTCCTGGAGAAGTCCTGCAGTCGGGTGTGGGAGGAGGAGACCAGGGAGCTAGAAAGTAGGAAGTCTTGTGAGGAGCGAAGAGTACGGGTTGGGTGGTATTCGGGTATCAGGTCGGTGAGGTAGTTTGGGACAGTGTTATGAATGGCTTTGTATGTCAATGTTAGTAGTTTGAATTTAATGCGTTATTTATTATAATATTATTATTATTATTATTATTATACAGGATTTATATAGCTCCAACAGTTTGCTCAGTGCTTTACAATATAATGGGAGACAATACAGCAACAATACAGTTCAATACAAGAGGGATAGGAGGGCCCTGCTCCTAACAAGTTAATGGAATTTCAAAATTTGTGTTTTTTAAAAATATTTTTAAATCTGCAGCTTTTGTTAAAATATTAAGTAGTGATGTAATGACTATTGAAGGTCTGTAGATTAGCCATTCCTCTTACAAGGTGACAATGCTTGGTCCCAGTCTCACAATTGTGCTCTTGTCATGCTGTCACACAGGCTCCTGATGGAGATAAGTGGCTGCTTTAACACACGATGCAAGCATGATCCACTATTGTCACCTTTGGGAACCCCACCCAGGATAATGCCATGCAGCCATGTTGGAAGTGCCTACATGTAGAAAAAAAACACACAGCGAGAACAGCAGCACTAAGATATAACATGGCAGTAAACAAGGTAAAGCGTGATGTTTTATGATATACAGTGCTTCAATGAACTATATAGAATTTGTTCCGAATGTACATCTACGTTAACGTTTATTAAAAATTGAACATTGTAAGTGGTGAACTTCAGTTAAGCCTCATGCAGACGGTGAGAGGCTGAATATATGACCAGCATAAACGTCACAACGTTTTCCTTTACCTGCGGAGCCACACAACTGAAAGGGTGTACACGGTCATACTCATGTACATGCCAGTGCTTCTATTCACCAGCATTTCCCCTCTGCATGTGGTGTTCATGTATTTCCCAAGCATGGAACTTTCGTGTTCAGGGAAACTCACCAACTTGCTGAAGGAGGGAGAAATCCCTGCAGGGATATACAGAGTTTAAAGGGGAAAGGTGTTTGCAAGAAGTTCCCAACATCCATCATATACTGCAGCAATTCTAGTAGGTTCCAGGATATGTGAACCAAAAGTATATTAAGCCTGTATAATAGGCTTAGAAGGAGGTGAGCGCACATTTAATTTCACTGAAGGTTTCACAGAAAGTCACTGTATTATGTTTTAATCACTTTATCACAAATTTGGACTTTTTTTGGATAAACGGATTTATTTTTGTTTTTTATTATGATCACTTTATTGATATATTGAAATTTTTTTGTCAGTTTGCATATATAATAGTATATTTCACACACTTTATATAGTTGGATAATAGGAGCGCAACATTTATAGATATAAGGTTGCCACCTATGCAATAATTCCATCCATGATATTTCATTGCTACTAAATATTCCACAGTCAACTGTAAGTGGTATCATAACAAAGTGGAAGCAACTGGGAACAATAGCAGCTCAGCCACGAAGTGATAGGCTATGTAAAAAATGACAGAGCGCTTAGTGCACAGAAGTCGCCAACTGTAAATAGCTAAAGACGTCCAAACTTTGTGTGACCTTCAGATTAGCACAACAGTGCATAGAGAGCTTCATGGAATGGGTTTCCATGGCCAAGCAGCTGCATCCAAGCCTTACATCAGCAAACGCAATGCAAAGCATCAGGTGCAGTGGTGTAAAGCACGCCGCCACTGGACTCTAGAGGAGTGGAGACGTGTTCTCTAGAGTGAAAAATCACGCTTCTCTGTCTGGCAATCTGACAGACATGTCTGGGTTTGGTGTTTGCCAGGAGAATGGTACTTGTCTGATTGCTTTGTGCCAAGTGTAAAGTTTGGTAGAGGGGGAATTATAGTGCAAGGTTGTTTTCAGGGGTTGGGCTTGGCCCCTTAGTTCCACTGAAGGGAACTGTTAAGACTTCAGCATACCAAGACATTTTGTACAATTTCATGCTCCCAACTTTGTGGGAACAGTTTGGGGATGGCCCCTTCCTGTTCCAACATGACTGCGCACTAGTGCATAACACAAGGTCCATAAAGACATGGATGAGTGTTTGGGGTGGAGGTACTTGACTATCCTGACACTCCTAAACTTTGCAGACATCCTTCCCAGAAGAGTTAAGGCTACTGAACCCTACGGACTAAGACTGGGATGCCATTAAAGTTCATGTGCGTGTAAAGGCAGGCGTCCCGATACTTTTGGCAAA